TTCTAAGTCTATCTATACTAGTAATGCTAATTCATTGTTAATGTCCTGACTCATGAGACATTCAATATTGTCAAGAGGTCGTGTTTTTAATAAAAGTAAAGGTGTGAAAGCTGTGAGTCAAGCGTTCACACTGACAGTGTGCTTCAATGCAGAATTGTAAACATTATGATGGTGCATTTCTCAAGGAATTGAAACTCCCAACAACCAAATCTGCGGTTCATTTGACATTGGTGATCTTTGACTTTTCCCAATGTCAAAGTCTATGAAATGCAGTCAAATGTCAAAATAGTCGTACAGTTTGGAAAGTGGTCAGATTGAGCATCTTCACGTGGGGAAAGTCTGTTGTTGAGCCTTAATGTGACTAGCTCGCCTTGTCGAAAACATGAAATAATCTCATGCTTCATCAGAGTTCGTGGTACGTGCAATTACAGGAGGTTTGAAGTTCTACTCTCGAACTCTGTTGAACAACGTTGCAAATCTATATTATTTTGTGTTATATATCCATCCATCCATTGCATTTTATATAATTGAATACAATATATACAATATATAATTAGACCATATAATTGAAAAATAATCAAGTTTCATTCATTGATTCATTTTCAAATGACACAATTACATAGCACTAAATCAAAGAATTCGCTTTGCTTGGTACTCGCAACTCCCAGTCCCAAAATCCTATCTGCACCCCTGTGAATAGAGAATTAACTTCATAAATGCAAATCCTCATGCGGCTAGAAACACAGCAATGCGCAGTTTAACATTTAAGGACAAACTTCAAAATGAGACAATGTGATGCCACTGTACGAATCCGATCCACAAGGAAACAATCCCGCTCTCTAGGCTATATCGCTACACCTGCTTGGTCTCATGTCGACTCTTTCACAAGACTCCTCCCATGAGAGTCAATTTGACGACTGTGGGATAATAATCTCATTATATACTTCAGTACAACTAGCCCGTCACATGATGAGACCCCCAGCCTGCTCTCAGTTGTTACTAAGCCGTTCTGGGAGCCGTGCCCGTGGGGGGAGCTCTACGTGTACACCAAGTGTTCACATGACTGTTCCCTGAGGTAAGGGGTG